CCAGTATTAACTGGAATATGTCACATATCAGGGCTGGATTTTGTGGCATTTTAGTCATTGGCTCAGAGAATATATATGTGTATATATGTATTTTTAAGAATATGCTATTTAATTATAGTTTATTATCTGAAAATAAATAGACAGTAGTTTTGTAGTTTAAGGTAGTAATATTCTGAATGTAATATTTTACTTTTGATAGCAAACCCAAAACAAAATTATGTGATTTAGAATTCTGTATTTTGAATAGAAAATGTATTTATTATGGCTGAGTAGTAGACAAATTTTTACTAAATGTATCTTTGTTTTCTAGGACTCCTATCAGAAAATCCTCCTAGCCATATGTGTGCAAGCAGCTGAGACAAACAATGTTTATAAAAAGCACAGAATTCTTAAAATATATCACCTGTTTGTTAGTTTATTACTGAAAGATATAAAGAGTGGCTTAGGTGGAGCTTGGGCCTTTGTTCTTCGAGATGTTATTTATACTTTGATTCACTACATCAACAAAAGGTAAATTATATATTTAGACAAATATATAAGTAGTTTTTCTACTCTTACCTTAATTGAAAATTTGTATGCTTCTTGATATCGCTTATATGTGGAATCTAAAAAATGATACAATGAACTTATTTACAAAACAGACATAGACTGACATAGAAAACAAACAGGGTTACCAAAGAAGAAATGGGGTTGGGAAGGGACAAATTGGGAATTTGGGATTAAAAGATACATACTACTATATATAAAATAGATAAAAACAAGGACGTACTGTATAGCACAGAGAACGGTATTCAACACCTTGTAATAACCTATAATGGAAGAGAATCTGAAAAAGAAAAAATATGTATGTGTGTGTGTGTGTGTGTGTGTATATATATATATATACACATATATATGTATATATATATAAAACTGAATCACTTTACTGTACACCTGAAACATTGTAAATCAACTAGACTTCAATTTAAAAAAAAGAGGGGGAAGGTATAGCTCAAGTGGTAGAGCGCATGCTTAGCATGCACGAGGTCCT